TTTTTTAACATTGTCAGGAGGATGAGGGGGTGTTGAGGGGAGAAGGCAAGAAGCTTCTCTCTCGTGTTTAGGATTTTCTTTCCAGTCCCTCCTTCCTCAGACCCTCCAGCCCTGCCAAGAGGGGAAGCCAGGGCCAAACTGCTATCATTAAGATGAAATCCAGCCCACCCCATACAAACAGCTCCCTGGCCTTGTGGGGAGGCAGGTGGGCAGGAACCTTTCTTCTCCCAATCCGACCAGCTCAGAAACAAATCCAGGACATTTAATCCTCCCAGATTAAATCAGAATCACCCACCCTCCCTTGGAGCAACTTCCCATGGAAGGGAGTAAACTAATGAAACTTCCCCTTCCACCTGGCCCTGGGGAGTGGGGGAGTTGGGAGGAGAATGGGACGATGGGAATAGGTTGGAAGAGAATTCCTCCTGCAGTCCTGTTACAAGCCAACCACGTCCCAACAGCAGAAAGAGAGTCTGGGTACCAGGCAAAGAACATTGGATCTGAGTTGGAGGGACCTGGGTTCCGATCCCAGCTCTGCTGCTTAACTGGCAGTGTGATCTTGGGGAAGTCACCTTTCTTTTCTGGGCCTCAGTTTCCACATCTGTAAAAATGAGGGAGTTGGGGCCTAGAATGTGCCTTCAGTTCAAATATTTATTAAACTCGTGCAAGGCCCTGCTTGGCCCAGTTCCTGGAAGCCAAGAAGGAAATTAATAGAACTCTGTCATTTCTGATACAATCCTTCTTTTCTGATCTGTTACCTGTATGTGGAAATGACCAATATTTTGTTAAGTTCAGAATAAAATGATTTTTTTTTAAAAAGGGAATTTCTTCTGAGGCCTTGCCCTCAAGTGGCTGACTGATGTTCCGCCCAACTCCAAATCCCCCCAGCAAGTTGACCAATAGGCATTAGATTTGGCAGCCAGAAGGAATTGGCCCTCCCTCTAGGCTGAAGCCACTGTCAGGACAGGTGGCACTGGTGTCTTGGCCAGAGGAATGTCATGGACTGGCTCTCTAGGACCACATTCTCCAAAAAATTCAGTCCCCTTCCTGCGTGGAAGCAGATCCCCCTTGGAGGTTTACCAGCATGGCAGGAATGGGGACAGTCAAGAAGGAAATGGCACCTTCCAAGGGATACCAATGCCCGTATTGATCTTCCTGGCAGGGAGAGGTGTGCTGGCTGGCGCAGACTTGGAGTGAGGAGGTGATCTGGGGTCAAGTCCTACCCTACCACACTTATCAGCTATATGGACATGGGCAAACCCTATCTCCTCATCTGTAAAACAGGGATGCCAATACCATCAGGACCTGCCTCACAGTGGGATTTTGAGGATTTAACAAAATCATAGTTATAAATGTGACCTATTGTTATTATTCCACAGTGAGGCCTTACTAAGCCCTCCTCCAGACCTCTCTAGGGCTCGGCAGAAGGGAAGCCCATGTTCTTAAGGAACTCAAGACTTAACCAGGACTTGGAACTTGCTGCACACTGGAAAGCTGCCTTGAGGTCAGGCAAGGTACCTTAACTCTACAGTCCCTTTCACTGCTAAAAGATTTCTCCTTTCTCCAAAGCTTTCTTCTGAATCACCAGCAGTATCAGTAGAATTCCATCCCACCCATCTTGTGAATTTTTCTATTTATTTCCAGAGACTATGCTAATAATCTTTTTCCTCCCTAAGAAGCAACAAGCTTTGAGGGCAGGGATTCACATCTTATGCTATTCCCCTTTAAGGGACCTACCGCACATGAAATCAATAATAGCAAACATTTGTATAATGCCTATTATATGCCAGAGTCCTCTGCTAAGCACTTCACAAACAGTATCTTATTTGATCCTGGCTTTTATCCTAATTTCTGGTGACCGCAGTTGGATTTCAGCAGCCAGTGGAAAATGGGATATGAAAAGTTGATGGAACTTCAGGTCTGAAGTGGGACTCATCTAGTCCAACTGAGACAACTAATCTTATTTGACAGCTGAAGCAACTAGCCCATCAAAGGGGAAGTGACTTGTCCAAGGTCAGCTAAGTCAGGATTCAAACCCAAGTCCTGTGATCCAAATTCAGCATTTTTTCCTCTATTCTACGTTTCTCTTGGTTCTTTCCAAAGACCCAAATGCTTTATTCCAATGAATCCAGCTTTTCCATTATGCATGGCCCACACAATCCCACCCACTTTGGTAAATATAGAAGGGGCAGGGAAAATACAAAAGAATGAAGAAACCCAGAGCAAAGGCTTTCCTAGAGTCAGAAATACACCTTCCCCCCCACCCCCCCCCCCCCCGCCACTGGGGGAATACACCAAAGCAGCGTTCCTCAACATGGGTTCTGCCACCAGCCAGCCTTTCCAGGTGACAAGGAAGTCTTCCCAGTCTTCCTTTCAAAAGTCAGTTGTCAACCATCCCTGGCTGAAGGGCCAAACAGAAACTAGCCAGTGCTCCTTAGACCCTCCTCTGCAAGCAGGTTCCAGAATACACAAAAAGCACCACTTTTCAAACTTGAAGAAGGACATCTAAGGGTGACTTATCATAGTGCAATGCCCAGAAAATCTCCAAGAACACAAGCACTATGGGGCAGGCCCCCAGATGGCTCTCACTTTGAATCTAAAGCCCATACTGAGACAGAGTTTCACAGGCCTTCTCCGTTTGTCCCAGACTGGACTGGTATATTCACTTTTCTATCAGATAAGAAACAGTCATTGCCTTCCTAGCCTGGGCCTCCAGGTTGTGCTCACCCAGAAAAGTCCCTGGGGCTTGGGAGGGTTGTCAGGAAACACCAGGGAGAGTTTCCAGGGAGAAACCTATGGAGACCAAGCTAAGCTTACCAGAGCAGCCAAAGGGAAAAAAAAAAAAAAGAGGTGACCTGTGTAGTAGATACTGCCCAGACACCAATGTCTGGATCTTTGGTGTTCCTCAGCTCCCCAGAGAGGAGAGCTGGGTAGGACATATTTATAAAGCATCATTGCCAAGAGGATGAATAAATAAGTTGGGGTTTCTGAGTTGTAAACTTAATATGCCTCAGGCAAAGGGAGAAGGCTAAGAAGAATGTACTTTACTCAGGTTTACTCAGCAGAAAAAGAAAGGGAAGCTGAGATAGCTAAGTAGCCCAGTGGATAGAGTGCTGGGTCTGGAGTCAAGAAGACCAGATTCAAATTCTACCTCTAGCACTTAAGGTGTGAACCTGCACAAGTCATTTGACCTCTGCTTGCCTCAGTTTCCTCATCTGTAAAATGGAGATAATAAGAGCACTTACCTCCCAGAGTTAAGGTGAGGATCAATTGGGAATAATATTTGTAAAGTGCCTGCCTGGAGGAGGTCCAAGGTCATTCCAGCTGGGTCATGATTAGAACTCAGATCTCTCAGCTCAAGGCATCATAAAATTTAAGAGTTGAAAGGGACCTCCATAACAAAGGAATCCCAAAGATAATATACCTAACAGAAGTATGTAGTGCTCCCAGAAGCCCTCAGTGTATTCTGTATTCTATAGATGTATCTATATTCATACACAAATACATACATATATGTATAAGTGGCACCTGAAACCCAGAAAGAGTCCTTAAGAGATCCAGCGCCCCACCCCCCCTTATTTTCCAGATGAGAGAACAAAGGCCGAAGACACTATACAGGTAGAACCTACATTTGAACCTGGGTCCAGAGACTCCAAATCCATCTTTCTTTTCATCAAAACTGGATCCTGGGTCTAGGGTTCGAAGAGACTCTAAGACATTATCTACTCCAACTCCCTTATTTTTCTACAGATTTGTAAACTTAGTCCTAGAGAGGTTCAATGATCTGCTCAGGGTCACATGGGTAAAGATTTACTTTGAACTCAGCATTTGAACTCAGGTCCTGTGACTCCAGAGCCACCGTTTTTGGTTTGGTTTCTCCCATTCCACCAGAATGACTCTGACTTTTACAGTAAAACAAGGAAGTCTATTAAGCCTTGGAAGTTTTGTTTGTTTTGGTGAAATAGAGAGGCTATGAGGCAGAGCAAATTGAGACACTGGGGATTGGGGGTCTTCTACAGAGGGGAGACGAGAGGGGGAAACTGCACATGGAATAAGGAGGAATGTCCAAGACAAGTGAACTCACGGGGCCAGGAGAGCTCATCACACTCACTGTCACAGCTGGCACAGTGTGTAGAGGCAGGTGGGGGAGGGAAACTGAGGCTAGGGAAGCCACAGGCTCCACTACTGGCCCCTGCCTCCGCGGGCTCAGCCCCCTTGCCCCGCCCCCGGAAGGAGGAAAGAAGGGGAAGGGTCTCTGGAGGACTGGCAGCTCCAGGGCCCCCAGCCCCGGACAGCTGCAACCCCTGGCACAGCGCCCACGAGCCCTGGCTCCTCCTGGAAGTTGGCCCCAAACACCCCTAGTGGTCGAGCCAACTTTCCGTCCTCCTTGCTTCGCTCCCTGCCTCGGCGACCCCTGCCTCCCCGGCGCCCTCGGTCCGTGCCAACGCCGCGGTGTCCCAGCTGGGAGCGGGGCTCCAGGGCTGGCAACTGCGTAGGTAGCCCGCCGCTTACCTGTGGGCTTAGCTCTGGCTGCTGCTGCTGGCTGCGCGCCCTGCTCCCTGCGGTTTGAGCCCGGTCCGGTCGGGTCCCGTCTGCCACAGTCCTGGCCTGTGCCTGCCCTGTCTGCCTCTGCTCGCCTCTGCCCGGCTCGGCTCTGCTAGCCTCTGCCTGGCTCTGCCGTGCCCTGCGCTGCGATCACCCAGGGCCCCCTCCCGCGGCCGTCCGGGGAAGAAGCAGCGTCCGCTGTCCAGCCCCTTCCAACTGCCGCAGCCACGCCACGCCCCCTTCGGCTGCGGGGAGGAAGAGAGAGGCCCAACCTCTTAATCTAGGTCCCGAGGGGAGGGGTTGATACATAGAGAGCGGGCAGGGCCGTAGAAGATCGCCCGGGGGGGGGGGGGGGGGCGGGATGTGGATTTGGCATGCTGGCCTTGGAGTCAGAAAAATCCAGGGTTCCACAATTACTACTCTGACTCTATCTGCCTGATGACGAGCAAGTAAATCACTTTGACCGCCTTGAACCTGTTTCCTCATCTGTAAACCTGCATTATCTCCCTCAAAGGGTGCTTGTGAGGTTCATATTATATACGCAGAGCATGTTGTAAGGGTGGAGTTGGTTAAATAAATCAACCCAGTCACCTCACCTCACCACCTGAAAGTAGAGATGAAGATGCCCGATACCTTAATGAGGTGAGAACAAGGCTCAGTCAATCAATCAGAGACTTTATAATGATTAAGTGTGAAAAATCCTTGGGTGAGCTGGGATTGCTTGAGGGAACTTTAAGCCAGGCCTGTGGGTCTTCTCTAAAATAGAATACCAGGTCAGGACCCAAGTTATTGGAGCATTCCGGAATTTAGAGTCCAGGTGACCAGCAGCTTGGGTCCCATCTTTCCACTGGGTCCTGGTATCATTCCTGGAACAACTGACCACAGAGTCCACATGGGGGCTGTCAGTTGCTCAATCAACAAACTTTTGTTAAAGGCTTTTAATGTGCCAGGTGCTGCAAAGTGATGGAGGCATTAAAGAAAGGCAAAACCATGGTCTCTGGTGCTCTAGAGGAGCTCACATTCTGATGGGGGTGGCAACATGCAAACTATGTACACACAAGATAAACATTTGTATCTATGTGTATGGAGGTGTGTAGTGTAAATGTGGTTATCTTCAAGGAAAGGAATGCATGGTTGGGGGAGGGGGAGAGTAGGTTGCTTTGAGCTGAGTCTTGAAAGAAGTCAGGGAAGCCAGGGGGCTGAGGTGCTGGTGGGGGGATTCCAAATATGGGGGACAGCCAGTGAAAGTTCAAACCCAGGACATGACTACATTTCCCCAGCCAAGACAATTCATTTGAGGATTTTTCGAAAGTCAAGAAGACCTGTATCTACCAAGACTCGTCTCTCAAATGTCAATAAATCTTCTTCCTTCTCCTTTTCCACTTTTGTCTGCATTTAGTGTATGTAGGCACTGGGATCACTTCCCAAATCTCCATACTCATTGGCAGGTAAGATCTCTAGATGGTTACATCTTCCCTCAGGATTCTAAAGCTATCCCTAAGAGGCTGAGGGAGAAAAGAGGGATATCTTTCTAATGCTTTAGTTCCTGAGCCTCCATCAGTGTGCTTCTCCCTGTGAATATCAGTTGATATCAGTTAGTCAGCCAGACTTAACCTTTAGAAATGAGTATTTACTATTGGGGCATAGTTGGTACAAAACATCTCCCCCTAAATCTGTGACACATTCTCTCACTAGTATGTACAGAGTCTAGGGGAAAATGGGCTCCAGCTGAGAGGGACACATGGCAGAGGGCTTGCACAATTTCTGGAAATCCTTTTCCTAGAATCCTCAAGATATTACTCTTAGGTATGGTGCAGCTTTTCTCCTGGGCTCTTTGCAAAACCTCAAACCTGCTTTTCCTTGTTATCAGCTCCCAGTGTAGACACTGACCACAAGGCACTTCTGTCCTTAGGATACTGCTAGGATATCAGTGAAAATGTCCAACCAAGTTGGGGAGAGAGAGCCTAGGGACTGAAGCTGTCATTCTTCTCCCTCATTAAGCTATTCCTTATCAGGACATTTGGCTGGAATGTTCTCTTGGCTTCTGGGTTCTGAAATAGTGCCTAGTTTCATATAAGCCTCATCTAGAACCTGACCATTTGGGACAAACTTCCTCTTACTCCAGTTTATACAGTAGCATCTCAGGACTTTTCACACTTTGTGTAAACTTTCGATTGACTGAGTTATGTTTTTACCTGACTAAGGTGTAGGGCAAAGCCTCCAATCATTTAATTTAATCGATGGGCAGAATCAATGACCTCCACCTTCACGTGTGTATCAGTGCCTGCTACATTGTAAGTGCTTAAGAAATGATTGTGGATTGATTCAGGGCTGACCTTAGAAAGTTAACAGAAGACACTGCTGCTGTCCACCATGCACGTAGTGGTGGAGTTCATTGTACTGAACTTCTCGGGAATTCCTTTGTTAGACAATAGGCCAAGCTGCTGTTTGGTATGTAAAGAGGGTTTATCAGAAGGGACCTTCCCAGCCACAAGATATTGTGATAGAACAAAGAACTGGGACTTTGAGTATCACTTTAGCAGTTATACAGGCAGGGGCAAGCCTAGAACCCAGGGTTCAGAATTCTTCTCTTCCCTTAAGGCTCTCTGATCAAGTGCCACCTCCTTTGAAAAACCTTCCTGATTCCCCCAGATGAAAGCGTTCTTTATCTAACCTGTCTCACTCTGCATATCTGTGATTGTATGATATCCACCTCCAGCATCTTAATAAATGTCTAACAGATCAGGAAGGGCTAGCACCTCTGGTGTGAGGGCTTGCCTCGGCTGAGCCCTTTTCAGGCTGCTTATCTACCTTTGATGTCCACCAGTCACCCAATTCTCACCCATGGCTCCAAAAAACTATAGCACGCTCATTGCACACCCTGTAAAACCATCTCAGCAGATGAGCTAAACCAGGTCAAGGAGACTCTACAGGCCTGAAACCCATTGGTGAGTTAGGCGGTGTCTACCCCAAGCATGTGAAGATGTCACCTGGCAGAATGGATGAAAATAATTTGTTCCAACAGCCATGAAGGCAGCTGAAGCAGATGCCCTGGAGCACTTAGAGCTTGGTCAGACATTGAAGATGCCAAGGTCATCCACTGTATCCACCAGTTGTCCTGACTTTGTCTCATCACTGGACTTCGATGACTCTGGAAGAGAGTGAGGCTGATGGGTTTGCGCAACTCTGCCTCACTTAAATCCAATTCATGTGCAAATCAAGACATCACCTGGGGTATTGATGTGGTTTAGGGGTTCAGGGGTCCCGGGACCCCAAAATCACAACACGTGGGTCCTGCCCGAAAGAATTCAACCCAAGCCTTCTTTCAGCCAAAGACAAGGTTTATTAGAACATCCATCATATTGGGCAGACTCTTAAGGAGTCTGAACATTAGTAAACTATTGGCTAATTGGCTAGATTTTAGGAATCTGAGCCATGGCTAGATTATAAGAATCTAAGCATCTTAATGGAGACAAGATGAACCTTATAAACAGAAAGCCTACAGGAGGGATCTAGGAGTGGCTAAGTAGTCTATGAGGTAATAGAATTCCAGGGGCCTGGACCACATAGCCAAGGGAGAATGGAGAAGTAGCCTGGGGCCATAGGGAGGTTCACAATGAATGACCAGTTGATGGGATTATAGCCTCAGGGGAATGCCAGAGATTTGACCATGTGGGAAAGTCCAGGGTTTTTCCTTTCTGGGGCCCAGATCCCAACCCCATCAGTATCACTGGTCCTCTTCAGAACTGAAGGACAAACAACAAATGTCTAATAAATCAAACTGAACCGAATTGAAATGAAAGAACAATGACTCTGGAGTCAGAAGACCTGAGCTCCAAATGCCATTTTCCTACTCACTAGCTCCGTGATCTTGGCAAAACCATTTTCCTTCTCTGAGCCCTCTCAATTTCTTCTGTCAGATAAGGGGCCAGAAGATCCTCTTACCATGTGGTCTGTGATCTCTAAGGCTTCCTTCTCACTCTAGGACCCAGGATTTTCCCAGATCTGGAAGGCGGGGCTTTAGAAATCAGGCTCAGTGCCTGGAAGATAGTAGGTGTTTAAATGGAGATTGGTGGAATTGGATAGAAACCTTCTCCAGCAGAGAGAGGCCTCCAGACATTCCTCACTTCCCACTCCTCTCCATTCTGCCCATATCAGGGGTGGAGGTGTTTGTTATGTGACCCTGCGGCTGGCCGGGCCTCCAGCTTCTGTCCAACACTATCCCACTCTTAAGGAAAAGGGCATTCATTCCCTCAGTTAGTTGTGAGCTAGTAACTCACTAGTAACTTAGACACTGTGTGGATAAAGCTCTGGATCTGAAGTCAGAGAGACCCGAGTTCAGATCCAGCCTCAGATACTTACTAATTGTGTGGCACTGGGCAAACCACTTAAATGTTGTCTGCCTCAGTTTCTTTATTTGTAACATGGGGATAATAATAATGCCCACCTCCCTGGGTTGTTGTAAGGATAAAATGAGATATTTGTGAAGCTCTTTGCAAACCTTGAAGTATATAGCCATATTTGTTACAAGTCTGTCTTCCTGGGTGGGTCCATTTTAGGCATGGTTGGCCACTTCGAGCTGGTCATTTTCTGGACTCCCCCCCACCCACCCATCGTATTATTTGTTTAGCCATGTACTCTCCCCTATGGGGACCAGGATGTGAGCGAAATCATATTCCAAAGTCTAGTCACTTTTTTTTCAGTCTGTTATTCAACAAATACATATTAAATACCTACTATGTGCTAGTCTAAGGCTAGGCTGTTGCTGTTGTCATCATTGTTTGTCTTTTGTTCTCAAAGAGGACCTTGACATTTGGGAGGTCTTGCCATGACATGCGAGTGAATTGGATATAAGTGAGGGAGGGCTGTGCGAAGTCACCAGCCTCACATTCTCCTCCAGAGCCATCCGAGTGCAGTGACAAGACATAGATCAGGACAACTGGAGATGGCCCCGGATGCAGTGGGAGAACTTGGCCTTTTGAAACTAAGGTTTTGGTGACTCTGTATAGAGCACAGACCCTGGAGTCAGGAGGATCTGAGTTCAAATCCAGCCTCAGACACTTGACACTTACTAGCTGTGTGATCCTGGGCAAGTCACTTGACCCTGATTGCCTTGCCAGTGCTAGGCACTGCAGAAAAAGAT